TACAAAACCTACAATAGCACCGTACTTGAAACAATAGAACAATAAAGATTAGTTGGTCAGTGATCTTAGCACGTGCCGAAATGGCATTTATTTTGATATTCAAACGTGATAAAATATCACGTGCGTTATATCATAAAAAGAGATCCACAAAATGCCTATTAGATTATTTCTTAACAAGCTGTGACAAAATTTCATCGACATTCCAGATTTATTACGTTACAATAATTCCATAAAAGAAAATAGCAAAATGTTATATCAATCGATCCCATTGTACGCAGTAACGACTCCTAATGATCACCAAATCAAAGCGATTTAACTGTAGCATAGCAAGTGTCGAAGCATAAACTTTAAATTGTCTCTTGCTTAGCAAATAATAGCCAAGAAGCAACGTACATGCGTAGAAATATTAGAATGTGTGAATAGTGACGGGGCTTTCGAATTCCAATTTTCGAAACGGTCCGAAGTTTTTTTAATACAATTGACCTTCGAATAACGCGGGTTTAAATAACATAGTGGATTTTTTTCCCCCGAGTCAATATTGTTTCAAGAAATTCCTTCGAAAAGATACTAATCTGTGCAGTAAGCCGCAACTTTGTTATTCCTTATAATAACAGTTTAATAACTTTTCTCATTAGTTTATTTCATTATAAGAATACAGTAATAGCACGTGCAAGTGAGTTATTGTCATTCCGTCTTTAGAAGGATAAAAGAAAAATTGACCTTGACTTTTCCACTAGTGTCCACGTCCCTAACCCTTGCGTTGCCCGAAGGTCAATTGTGCAAAATTTTCAATCACTATCGGATACGATTCGAAGCTTAAAATTTCGGTAGGTTTTAATTTTTGATAAGTCAGAAGTCTTTGAAGTTCCGATAAATCTTGAGGGCTCAGTAGACATTCGCTAATATCTTATATAATGTATCATAAGTACAAATTATTGAAAACAAAATTTCAGAGGCACAAGGGATTGTAAACATAAACTCATAGCGAATATTCACGAATCCTATCATATCGAAATTTGAAGCATCGAATCACGTGCGATAAATGATCCAAATTTTGCAGTGTACATGTTCGAAGCGATTCGAAGTATTTAAGAATTTCATCACTACGCGTGTATAAGATCGGTTATTCGCGATCATACCTCATCCATTATTTGTCGATATTACTCGATATTCAGGACACGTACACAAGTTTATTTTTTTTTCTTTTTTTTTTTT